TTAATGAGCTCCTCTCGGGGAGGATGCAATAAATGTCCAGCCTTAGAGACATTTATTGTCTTTCACTTCCGAGCCTTACCGCATTGAATGCAGTCTGATCAAGGGAATGATGTAATTAAATGCTTGCTTTCCCAAGTCGTGTGTCAGCAAGGGCATGCGGTCTTTATGTCTCTGATGTGACACAATATGCCACGCGTCCATTCCCCATTGGCTGTGGCCCCTGCCTTCCTGTGCCTTCTGACACCAATTGTGTAAGACGAGGTCATGATAGCTAACCTAGCCTAGCCTAGGCTAGTGACCTGTACATCAATAGTCTCTGTAGGAGCAGAGAACGCCATCCTGGACGAAGATACATCTCGGACTNTCATCTCCTGATCAAGATGCTCTTAGGTCACCTAGAGCAGTACCCATATCATCATCAGATTTTTCTCCTCGGACACCTGAGTGGAGCATGGTAAGTGCATCCCCAAGGTCCGGATCANAAGATGCTCTTAGGTCACCTAGAGCAGTACCCATATCATCATCAGATTTTTCTCCTCAGACGCCTGAGTGGAGCATGGTAAGTGCATCCCCAAGGTCCGGATCTGGGCCTCTATTCTCACCAGAAANCAGTGTAGTCAGTAGGTGATCATTAGGTACAGGCAGTGTGCGCACTGACTCTGATGAGGAATGTCTTCTCTTTTAACTGCTTGGGATCCCGAGCAATCAATGCTGTGTCATCGGGCTACCGACTNCTGGGCCTCTATTCTCACCAGAAATTTTTACTGAGACTCCTGAGTTGAGCACCCAAAATGTGTCCCCCATGAGAACCCCACCGCTCCAAACAATGGCACGGCCTTCAAGTTATGACCCAAATCGAATTCCAGCATCTGTTTTTGCTAGTAAACCTTCAACAATCATGGATTGGAGTGTTGCATCAAATGAGTCGTTGTTTAGTATTCACATGGGGAATAACAGTTTCTCTAGAGATCATGCTATTCTAATGGGAAAGTCTGGAGAACTGACCAAGCTTGACGAGATGAATTATCCTTCCAACCGGCTTTCTGTTACTGAAGCCAAGTCCAATGAGTTGAACAACTTCTCATCCAGCCTGCCTCCTGTTATTGAAGCAACAGCAGACACAGACAGAAAGAGTGTTGATATGTCTGAGGACTTGAGAGTAAAACACAAGACATCTGAGGACTTAAAGATGGAGTTGAAGGAACATGTGGAAGTTCATAAGAAGGAAAAGCCGTCCCCTGCTGATCAGGCACGTGTTTCTGATACCGCTTCCAGCATTTCAGATGGTAAAGGAACACCTCGTATTTGTGCAAGTCCCCCTCGCTTTTCTCATGAGAGTGGTAACAGTGCCAGTTCTTTTGCCTTTCCAATGTAAGGAGCTGATTGCTTATATTTGTATGCCAACTGTAGAAAAAGTTGTATCCCTATTTCTCCCAAATGCACAACATGAACACTGGAAGCATGAATCTCAGCTCCTCCATTCCTTATCCGTTTTGTTTTTAAATATAACAAGCTACACTGGAGAGGGGAATGTCATCTGCCGGCTGCATTGACAAACATGGTCCTCTCCGTCAACACCCCCCCCCCCCCCAAAAAAAAAAAAAA